CCCCATCCCAACACCCACCGCCCCGCAGCGCCCCGCTTGCTGCGTTCCCTTTTATTATTTTACCCACATTGAACCCAACTCCGCCTCCCGTATGTGATCTTTATCTCGACGTGTCAGAACGCGGCTTCAGAATTGGGGAGCCCCAGATAAGAACGAGGCACGGAAATCTCGTTTTTCCCACTGGACCTCCGACTGTATTTCTTTTACTCGTGCAGTTCGCGCAGCCACCGCGCGGGGCACACAGGGCGCAAGTGAGCGAGGGGGGTATGGAGCAGCACGCACTGCACTCTAGCGCGCGCTCTGTCCCTCTCCCGCCCGGCCAGCGGCGGCAGCGCGAGTGCGACAGAGACAGACTACCGCCGCCGTGCGCGAACGCAGCCCGGGCCAACACAGCACAGCGCGGCCAGGATGTCGACGAGGACGTGAAACCCGGGAGGGGACCGTAGGGGACCGCGCTGCGCTGCTGCGATTCGCCGCACCGTTTGACGCACTCGCTGTGCGGGCCAGACTGCCAGCAGCGGCCCTTTTTATCACTGTGCGATCATTTGTGGGAGAGAGGGAGAGGGGTGGAAACCCCGAGGGGGGGGGGGTATTTCGCAAATAAATATTATTCCAGAGACACACCGCATAATGGAAGTTTACCGAGGAATGGGCACTGAATGCAGGCGGAGTCCGCGGAAAAGTATGCGTCGGTCTCGGCTTTAGGTGCCCGGCCGGCCCTGTCCACCCATTCCTTCCTGGAAACTTTTCTTTTTTGCGCGCGCGCGAGTCATGTGCACTTTTGCCGGGACTGGACCCCCGGAGGGGGGGGGGGGGGAGCATGCCACGCTACCACACATGGCCGCTGCGGCTCTGTACGTGCACTATCGCTTATTGACATTTGCGTTCCGTTCGTAGGCGAGACGGCGAGACGGCGACCGGTAGCGATTATAGTGGACGCCGCCGGTGTGGACGCCGGCCACGACACCCGCGCAGACACCACCGAGCAGGTCGCGCAAATAACGGACACCCCCGAAATGAGCCCTGTACACCAGCGGGCGCACACCGCTGCGCCGACAGGCAGAATAGGGACTTCCCTGCTGCCGCGGGCTGGCGGGGCCTCACGCCAAGCGCCCAGGTAGTAGTGGCGGCCTACCCGCCGGGCGTCCGTCGCGGAAGAGGTTGGGGATACGGGCGCCACCTCGCGGTCACCTGTAGACCTCGCCTTACTAGGGTCCAGTCAGCACAGCACCCGGTCAGTCGGTCCCAGCGTCCGGAGCTGGTGGACCATGGCACTAATGCGCCCCAGGTGAACGGTCGAGTGACTTGATTACTCCACAGCAGCCCATTGAGAAACGTCGATTCTGCATAAAATGGCCGGTAGCGGCCACCTGTAAATCCCGTCTGCAATAATCAATGCAAAAGATCTCAATTTGACGAAATCGACGCCAGTTTGTTGAAAATTTGCCCACTGATTTGGTAGTTTGACGGAATCTCGTCAAATCGACGTCTTTTTGATTGATTATTACAGACCGGCAGTCTTAACCATGCTCACCTTTACGAGGATGTCTCCGTGTCTGTGCCCCACTTGGTGGTCTTCTCCACCTCAGCTCCCAGGTAAGAGGTGCTTGGCACTAGGCGTGGGGCCGCCGTTCGCACGGCCACGGGTCAGAAGTTGTTGTCAACACAGGGCCGCGTGTGCGGGGGCGGGGCGGGGCGAGCCTGTGCCCGGGCCATCCCCCGGCTCGGCTCGGCTCGACGGCGGCCTCCCCGCGAGGCCCCTGGACGTCGCGTCGACGGCGGGCTGCTCTCTGTGCGCTCACCACGCGGCACTGCGACTAGGCACTGCGGCGGCACCCCGGCGGCGCGCGGTGGCAGCAGCGGCAGGGGCCACGAGGGCCACGCGGTCGCGGCGGTGCACTGCCATACAGTTCACTTAGACCCCCCCCCCTCTTCCCCCCGGTGGCAGCGGGCAGGCAATGTACAGAACAGAGAGTCGGCCCCCACCCAGCTCGGACGGCAATTTGCTGGAGCGAGGAAACCAACGTATACAACCCATAGGGGGCTGTCCCCCTCCCCTCTTACCCTGTGAGCATATGACGTCGTCGACAGTGATAATGTGTGTGTGTCCCAGCGAGCGAGGGGCGACGGCACGGTGGGACCAGCATTGACCCCGAGGGGGCATTTGAGGCACCCCCCCCCCCTCCCCTCGTTCTCGCCCAGCCGCTCTGTCTCTCATTTACCAGGGCAGGGAAGTTCATTAGAGGAAAAGAGCAACACAATCAGATGGTGATAAGAGATTTATGTAACAAAGTACTTTTCACAGAAAGGCTTCAACCCTACTTTACCATCATATGTCGAGTTGTGCCTCCACAAACAAATGTTAACCATAAGTCCGGCCTCACAATCATTTTCAGTAACACGGCTGTGTTAGAATGACAAGTAAAATCTGAATCTGAACAAATTTACAACAATAATAAGTGGTAATGAGAACTACTTCCAGCATTGAGCCAGTAAACTAATTTTCATTTCCAAAATTGCCCTATTTAATACTGGACAAACGAATTAACATCATTTAAGATTCTAATAATTGAAACGGCTAGCCACTCAAACTAAATCACATTTCCATCCTTTCTATCCAGGAACATACAGTAAATCACTCTCATGTGCAAGAAAAATAAATCTTAAGTGAAGTGCTTTCCTCCTTGACTCAAATGACTACAATTTACATTTTTCTACTTGATATAAGTTTATATGACTCCTAAAACAAAATTACACATGGTTGATACAGAGAGCAACAAATGGATTGTTGCAGCACCTTTGACAACAGCTCCTTAGAAATGTAAACTTTCTATACATTTAAGAGATATCTGATATCTGCCTACGAAGCAGAAAACACTGATTGCATTCAAAACATAGATAAAACAAAAAAGAAACAAATGTGCAAAGCAAAACAAATTAACATGAATAAACAAAACACTTACTATATGATGTGGGACATGCTGGTTTCTGACATTTGTCAAAGGACTGCCCAAAAGCCAAAAATTTTCAAAAGAAAAGATAAAATTTAAAAGGTAGATGTTTAATCCAATTTTGTTCTGCGATTATCACAAGTACCTAATAGCGTGAAAACTTTTAACTTTTGGTAAATGGAAGAGCACTCAAAAACAAAACTTGGATTTCATGTTAGATAACGTAACCAACAAAACTGCAAAAGTGCTATTTGACAAAGAGTTTTACGCACTCACTGAAATAAAATGTGCAAGTAGATAATAAAATCTACTTCACAATAATCTACTAAATAATCTTCAGTACAGTCATAAAACATAAAATAGAAATTTAGAACAGAATCAGACTTGATTCAATAAGGTACAATAACCTTCCTATGTACATATGGCAGGCTACTCCACAACTGAGATGTGGATGAGGTTACAAATGTGTACATTGTTAGTACGATAGATGTACAAGCAGAATTATTTTCTGCTTGACGCAGTCCTTTAAAAAGGTAAAGCCAGCAGAACATCACAGAGTCCAAGGTGTAAATGATTCTGAGCTTTTATCACATTCATTCAAAACCACCACCATATTTACCCAGTTTAACATTAACAAATTGTTCAGCTCCATGAACACACAGTGTCCACCACCTCATGATCAAATTGCTTCAATCAACATCCAAAGCAGTCCCTACTAAGCCCAAAAGAAATACTAATTATCTTATGTACTAAATCACAATAGTCTTGTCAGGAAATCAATTATATACTGTAAACTGATAATGGGTAACATTTGTTGATGAAAGTTAAAGCACAGTGACAGAATGGCAATAACCATGATAATTAGAATCAGAATTTCAAAAATTCAATCACTACAAACTACTGCACTTACAAGCTGAAAATTCAATCTTTTCTACTCTACTATATTATTTTTTGACCAGTTCAAATCACACAAAAGTTATATCATGAGTAGCAACATACATGCAGTCATATAATGATCAACAAAAATTATAATTGGTCTGTTGCACCTGTAAGTGATCAATTAATTGCTGGCAGTTGTTTGGTATAGTTAGGTAGGCTTCATTGTCAGGTAATAATTATGAACTTGCGATCATGTAACCAAAAGCCAAAATTGACATAAACAAATTTAGAGGAAATTTAACAAGTCTTTTTACTAGAAATTAAACTAACACATTGTTCCACAAATCACAGAAAAAGATTTGATGTAGATCATGGCAGAGTAAAAACAAGTGCAGAGTCATGACTCAGTGAAAATAAAAAAAACTACAATGAAAGCAGTTTGAGTAACATGCCACAGTATTTCTGCTCATTTAGACATTATGATGAACACCATAACACAAGAAACAAAACCGCTCGCATACAGTAAAGGAAGGGGCAAATGGCTCTTCACATTCATAAATATGTACATCTCACTTTTAAGTAGATCAACTTCAGTTTAAATATCACATTTTACAAAGTTAATTAGTAAGCCACTTAAAAATAGACCTTGATGGTATGTATCATGGTCCAAGAAACAAAATTTGTAACCATTGGTTTCAAAAGAGAAAAATTAATCAGTTTTGCATTCATCTAATTCAGAATATAGATGATGTAGATAGAAATTAGAAGTCTGCTTATTTAAAAATTATTTTTTTGGATCAACATGAATCTCATCCCCACTTGTGATGTTGTAACTGTACAGTTGCTTATTGGGATACTTCATGAACTCAAGGTGGTTGTAATGATCCATATAGGCTTGATCTGCATAATACAGTCGCATTTTTGATGCAGCAATGCCACATACTGGTTCCAAGGTCTTTTTCAGTTCACTAATCTGTAACATAACATGTGGTTATGATTTAATATTAACTTACACTAGTTTTTCAAATCTGAAAGAATTTTATTCATTACTTACAGTCTGATACACATTTATACTTTTGATCTCAGACTTATCACCCCACACAATTTTCACTTTTACTCTTTTCTCAGGTGAGAGATCAATGTTGACTAGTGGATCTAAGCGCCCGTGCACTCCAAGAAGATTTCCGTACCTGTAACAGTTCAATATCAACTTTAAATATATTTTATAAACATTTTGAGCAGCTTGGGTAGGTTGCACAGCACCATTGACCCAACCTGGTCGAGGGTACTGCTTACTACGCCATGCTAGCTAGTCACTGTCATCCCAGCCTCTCAACTTCAGCAGAGTCTTATATCTGCAATGACATGTTCATAACCAAAAGGAATTTCAAACCTAAAATTTTAATTGACTGTATACTTAACACACCTTTCTGGTCTATCACTCTCTGGTTTTTCCATGTAGTATCTAATAAATGCTCGCTCTGCATCTTCTCGTTCTTCCGGACTTATCACACCACCCCCATTTAATGTTTGGATATTAGGTAATCTGGCAATCAAAAGCTGCCGTCTTTCATGTTCTGTGTATTCCTGTAAGTAAAATTCAACCATAAATAATATCATAAAAATAATTACAGAAATGATTGACTATTACAAATTTCATACCTCAAATAATGGGCAGGCATTGATTCGTAAACAATGTAATGCGGGAAAACAGGCTACACGATCAATTTCATCCCATGATGCTATATGGGTGCCAGTAAGGTTGAGCGATCGTAATTGTCGGAAAACATCATGTGCAGAGTAAGGCTTGGGTCCAGCAGATTCACATTCACTTTCACATCTCCCATATTGATGTGTTGGAGGACTACCACAAGAGGAACACGAGTCTTCAGATTCCTCACTTTCTTCACTTTTGCATTTCTCCACTAAAGAAAAGCCATTCTGTCATTAAAGATTCAGATACTTTCTAAAAAGTTTTGAAATGAAGATTGCGTAAAAATACTTACTGAGAACAGCTGGGTCAAGAGAGATTAGGGGGCAATCAGCAAGTACGAGTGATTCCAAAGCAGGAAATGCTCTACCCAAATTGGATATTTCACTCCACCTACAAATAGGGTTGCCTATTGAAATAAATATTGCACAAAAATTAGTTTTTTAAAAGGCTGAGACACACAATTTAGGAAAATAATAGGAGAAACAGTAACTTACCAGTAAAGTGAATTCTTTTAATGTTTGGGTGTACATCATCTGGCGTGTCTCCAACTTCAACGCTGGCAAAGTTATTAAGGCTAAGGTGGAGTTCTTCCAAGCTAAAAGACAAAAGGGAATTTTCATCAATTTTCTTTCATCAATTTTTAAGATTATGGCAAGGCTAATAAAGGCAAAAAACTTACTTGGGAAGTAATTTTAGAAGTTTCTTAATCGTTGACCAGCTTATTTGCGTGGATATCAACACAAGATTTCGGAGGAGTGGAAATGGGGTGAGGCTTTCATTGGCGCAAAGCTCATCTGTCAGTTCCTCAGACAAGTTATTGAAACTTAAGTTGGCAAATTTTACTTGAGGCATGAGGCGTAATATTGTGAGGACCTGAGATAAATACATAATTAAAAGCATCTACTCTCATAGGAGTATTTAGGAGGACAAGGAAGTATTTTAAAGACAATATCTCCATTTTACTTACATCTGCCCAATGTGTGAGATTGTTTTGAGCGAGGTCAAGTTCTTCAACAACATGGCACTTTTTCTGGACATCATTTTCGTCTCCAGCTGAATCAATGTCACAGTCGTTCAGTACCAGTAGGGATGGAACAATATTTCTGGGCCCTTTTCTTGGCACATAAATGGCTATTGCTTCGTCAAGTCCTTCTGCATCTTCGGGCCCATATTTGCCCTCCAAAGCTTCCACAAGGGTTGGCATTTCACATGAAATCTGGAAACAAAACTGTCAGAAAAGTATTATTAGCAAGGTGATGAATTCTTATTTATATTCATAGCACTGTTTCTTCTTCTTCTTTTTTTTTTTTTTTTTTTTGTAAAGTTTAATAGAGTAATAAGTGCAAGAGCACACTAGAGAACAATTCGTCTGGGCAGTTACAAATAAATATGCCTTGACACAGAGAGGAGCATGCCGGAGCGGCTCGTAAAACAAGTTTGCACGACTGCAACGGCACACTCAAACGCCGATGGCATAACTATTTCATAATCTTGCTGCATATAGCGGAGCCATTAAGGCATCAGGTACTTGGCACTCTGGCAAACACGCACACGGGCGCACACCCCGGTGCGGTGGGATGGGTTGGTCGAAGGGAAGGTAAAGAAAACCAAAGCGTATTTGCAGTCACTCTTGCAGGACCGCTGAAATGCACTTCGCGAGCAACCTTGAGCACCCGCG